TACAGAATATTATACATATGCAATCAATCAATACAACCATAATGTTTGTACTAAATAACTAAAAAAAAAAAAAAAAAACATATTTGAATATAAAAAAAAAACTTGGCCATCAAATCGCATAGAATAAACCCAATCCAAATATATTTAACTTTTAGATATTCTATTCATGACAATATAATTAGCAAATTACTAGCTTTCGCCATTACTACTAAATTGTGTTATTTAAAGTGTTATTTAAAATTTTTTAATCACTATTTAATAATAAAATAGGAGGATTAGAAAATATAATTTACCTAACAATTGATGCCGCCATTACTATATTAACAAAAAAAAATTAATATTTTTTATTAATTAAAATTAAAAAAATATATACAGTATATATGTATTGTAATATTGCATACCTTAACTAATTTAAAAAACAGGTATTGTGTGTGTACTCTTTCCAAGTCTTTGGCATGGTTATTCTTTTACGATAAGTTTCAATTTGTTCTACCATTGTATTAATTGACTGAAAGTTTTTTTCTACACTTTTACCTCATTTAAGATTTTTTGTATCTTTGTATTCATGTAATAGATCAAGTGTTTTTTTGAGTTATCTCAATTAATCGGTTAAAAAAAATATCTGAATCTTCAACTTGATCATTATTTATATTAATCGTATCGAAATCTTGAACCTTTGTTTCAATTAAAAGATGTTTATTATTATTTTCAACCTGATTGTCACTATTTATGTTAACTATTAAAGAAGTCAAACTAGTATTAATTAAAAATGGATGTTGATTGTTTCGCTTAATCTGGTCAAAGAATTGTGGTGATACAACTCCCTTTTTTTGGACAAGGTGTTTACAAATAAAGAACCGATTTGTAAGATAATACGGACAGCTACAGGTTTACTGTTCCACATTGGTATTATAAAGTTTATTACTGTCTTCTTTAACAATCCTGTTTGTCAATCGTTTCCATTCTGATTTCATTGATTTTCGCCAATCTGCTCTTATTCGTCCAAGTATAATTTGATCAAATTTACGTCTTTGGTGAAAAATTACTTTTTTCATAAGAATATAGGTAACTAGATGTTGGCCCATCTCTAACTACAGTATTTGTTCACGCTTATTGCCCAGATCTTGAGTTCGGACTGATCCGGAACCTTTATATTTCTTTTTTGATTGTAAGTATGTTATAAGTGGGAACGGAATTTAAGTGGATTTGGAATTTCTTTGGAATTTTAGGTTCAGGATGTAGGTTTATATAAAATAAATTCTATCCTAAAGTTGTAATTTATTAAGAAATTCCAAATCTACTTAAATTCCGCTCCCACCTACAACATGTTTATCTTTATTTTTGTTTTTAATGTTTTTATGCGTACCTTAACGGCTTTTAATACGTTGTAAAAAATATCAGAAAAAAATAGAAAAATAACGAAGAAAAAGAAACCTCATGATCAATAAACTAAACTTTATGAATACGCATTAAAAAAAATAGTATGGAAGTATAGATAGAACCTTGAAATAAATCAGTCATTGCCACAAGTAGGCAATAATTAAAAATCTAACACGGATCTGATGATCGGAACGACGGAATGGCTACATTTTCCGATCATCAGATTCGTGTCAAATTTTCATTTATTGTCCGCTTCGCGGGCAACAACAAAAACTAACATTATTGATATTTTTATTAACATTCAAAAATGAAAGGTTTACCTATTCTTGAGTACTATGGGTTGACTAGTATTATACTTTAATAAATGGCAGTTCTTCTTGAATATTACTGATTAAACATTCTTGAATATTGTATGCTGGGCAAATCCATCCTTTTTGATTCATGGGGTCCGTTCCTTTTGATTCATAAAAAAAGGACCACTTTTTTGACAATATCCCATATGATTTAACCCTTTTAACCCTATAAAAAGTGGCCTTTTTTATGAATTAAAAAGAATAACTCCGTGAATCAAAAAGAATGAAATTGCGTATGCTGGAAGTTCTTTGATATTTCGCTTTGTGCCCATTTACGCTATATATCGAATTTTATATATTTTAATATTTGTAACGATTTCGATAAAATTAAAAAGCAAGTCTTAAATGCATTTTAAATATTCAAAGAAATGCCAATTAGTTTATTTTATGTGCAGTAAAATCACACCCTGAATAAAGCATCGTTCATATCCGGATAACTACCTTTAGTTTTAAACCAGCCTATCGGAACCTTAGACAATCTATAGCGTTACAAATAAAAAGGTCCATGAAATTATTCTTTTTGATTAAATATTGAAAATCTAAGGCCATAGTGGAATGTCCAAAGTTCTGTCAATAACTCACTTTCCATAAATAAATCCAAAAAAAAGGCAAAGAATTATTTTTACAAAAAAAATAGATTTCTTTTACTGCTTGTTTCCAAATTTGTAAACATGTTAGTGCTGGATTAGATGTTGGTATTAAAAGATGAAGATGTAAATATCTATCCATTAATTCCCAAACTGATGTATGTAATTCTTTAGGACAAAACATCGTGCCTTTTTGAACTGGAAGTTGTGGAATAAAATCTTTGTTAATAAATAGAAAATACTCATAACCATTACTATGCTTATAAGTAACTTTTTGTGAAAATTTATTTAAATTAATCGGGTATCAATTGCTTTTTTCACATGCCAATGACATAATTGAATTTTAGCATTTGGCCAGGTAAAACATATTCCAGAAATCTGTGCAAAATCTTTATCACTTAATATGAACTCAGGCATAAGTCCTTGTAACTTTATCTCATTAAAAAAATTTAACAGTATATCAGTTCGTACTTCATTTCCAGATTTACTATTACTTTCTAAAAACAGATATGCAAGCAGATACCCTGAACCATCTACTTCTGCATGCAGTATATACAATTCTAACCCTAAATTGTTCGTATTATCTATACATATAAAAAAATATATTAATATATATATATCCTAATTGCAAGTAGAAAGTACATATAAATAAATAATAAAATATATTATAAATACATGTCGCATCAATTCTGCATTCATGTACATTAATGTTTAATTGTTTTAAGTAATCAAGAAAACCTGTTAAAAATCTAATTGCTTTAACCGGTGTTGTTGTATTTACAATAAGTTTATAATTTTCTTCTTCAATCCATATCAAAGAAGATTTAAAAACATCTTGATGTCTGACATATCTACTACTTCCAAAAACTGTCCACCAATAGTAGACTTGTTTTTGTACAATCAACGTATCCATACCCTTATTAATTAGATTTGCATAAATATCCCGTAGTAATAAATCAATATTATCTTTAATATATTGTTTAATATCATCTGAAACTTCTACATTATTTGGCTTTGAATGCAA